AAGGGCAGGAAAGCTGAATCGTCTGAGGCGGTTGCGTCGCCATCGTCCGCCGGTAATTCGGGGTCCGCCGCTGGTGTCGCGGCTGCTGCGCCGGCGGCAGAAGAAGACGAAGAACGGCCGCTGCGCGTGGTAACCGTGGTGACGGTGGTGGTAGGAAGCGGCGCCGCCGCGGAGCCGGCTGTTGCGGTAGCACCGTCGCCGCCGTCGCCGCCGCCGCCGCCGCCAGCCTTGCCAGCCGCCGCCTTCTCTGTCCCAACCCTTGCCACGATGACCCCGTTGTCACCCTCCTCCGGTTTTCCCTTTTCCGGCCTTTTCGCTCTCTCTGCCGCCATGGCAGTCGCCTTCAGGCCACTTTTAGCCGTCGAAGACTCAGCAGCAGCAGCAGCAGCAGCAGTAGAACCTGCACCAACCGCCGAGGGTCCAGCGGCAGAAGAATCCGCCGCCGGCTCGGCAGCGGCGGCGGCGGCGGCGGCAGGGGCGGCGGGCGTGGACGGTGCATTCGCGAGAGTGGAGGACGGGGACCCGGCGGGGGCATCATCGACAGCGGCACCTTCTCCCTTCCCGGCAACGGCGGAACCTTCGACGACGGCCTTCTTCGCTGCTGCCGGGGAGGCGGTGCTAGGAGATGGTGGACTAGAACCAGTGGGCGCCACGGCAGGTGCAGCGGCCGCAGGCGCAGCAGCAGAAGGCGCAGCAGCAGAAGGCGCAGCAGCAGCAGCAGATGCTGCAGCAGAAGGTGTCGCGGCCGCAGCAGCAGGTGAAGCGGGCGCAGGAGTAGCAGTAGCAGCAGCAGCAGAAGGTGCAGCAGCAGCAGAAGGTGCCGCAGCAGCAGCAGCATCATCAGCAGCATCATCAGATGTTGCAGATGCAGGTGCCGCAGCAGAAACAGCAGCAGCAGCAGCAGCAGCAGCAGCAGCATCAGATGTTGCAGATGCAGGTGCCGCAGCAGAAACAGAAGCAGGTGCAGAGGCAGCCGCAGCGGCAGGTGTAGCAGTCGCGGCGGCAGCAGAGCTCGTGGGGGTGGAGGTGGAGGTGACGCTGATGGCGGTGCTGGTAGTCGTAGAGCCAGCTCCACCGCCGCTGCTGCTGCTGCTCTTGTCGCGGGCGGCGCTCCCAACGTTTTGGCCATTTTTGTTCTTGGGTTTCCTGCCGCGAGGGCGAGGCTTCTTGTCGGGGTTCAGCTCGTACTGTGGTGTACACGCGGAGGGGGGGATAATTAGCTTCAGAGAGGCTTCCGCGAAAATCTGGAGCACATGCATGTGTGCGATTTTCTGGGCCGCTGCTGTGTGTTGCCCCAGCGAACTCAGCTTGTTGCATTGGCATCAAATACGCCTCGAGGTGTGCGGAGAGAGGCCAACACCCAAAGCTTTGTGCTGACGGACCGGGGTAACCCCCCCCCCCCCCCAGTAGTTGTGGAGCTGAATGAAGCAAAGACAGACGGGACGAGAACACAACAAAAACACGCAAACACACGGCTCTAAAGCAACAACGGCAAGCATCACCATAAACAACGACAGCCCAAACGTCAACGGAAACAACGATGACGACGACCACCACCACCGACACCGACACCGACGAGTTAACACAACACCAATGGTAACTCACACGACAGCGATAACATCGACCACATCACCACCACCAACACCACCGTAAGCAACGACGACCATCACGCTAACAACGACCATCACGCTTACATAGATCATCTTGGCCTCGCGGACCCCAGATAACCAGGCACCGTGGACGGTGGCCGGGTACCTCACGCTCGTCGCCTCCCCGGCGAAGTGAAGGCTCTGCCCGACCGGGCGCCCTAGCACCCTCATGTCCTCTGACGACGATCCGACGCGAACAAAGCTGGGGGGAAGGTTGGGGTTGGGGCCGGAAAGGAGGGAGGTTCGGGGTTGTAGAGGTTCCAACGTCCAGTTGTATATGCAGCAGTAGCAGCCGTGCCTGGTACATGGGACGGTATGTTCTCACCGGCACTATACCGGGTACCGGTACAATACGGGATACCGGCACAGTTTTCAAATTAGAGAATGACTTGGGGGATGCAGTCTGTGCCAGCCGAATAAACCGGCGCTATTCCGGGCACGAGCACTCTTCCAACGGTTCAAAACACACACCCCCACGCTTTATGTCGTTGTTTCCTTCACATCAAAACCGTTACGGCCTGTGCCCAGCGGTACCTTCTCATAACCGTGTACCGGTACGACTGACCCGAGTCGTACACATGTAGTAGGAGGAAAAGCACTACTGTAAAAGCGCGATGTCCCAGCCCGTACCAAAAAAACACGTACCATCTCCCCATCACGTGAATCGAATCGAAAACGACATCGCGCTACCTTTACTTCGCGGCTGTATCGCTGTGTCAGATGGACAGCGTACGACGCCCTCGCATTTCACATCACAGCCGCCATCTCTCTGTCTCTCTCTCTCTCCCCCCCCCCAACCCCCCGCCTTTTTGGTTCCCCCCCCCCCCCCGCGGGGGAAAGTGCGAGCCCAAAGCAGAGGGGGTGAGAGGGAGTGGGGGGGGGGGGGTTTGAAGAGAAAGGGGAAAAAAAAAACACGGAAAGGGGCCTGGGCCCCTTGGGGGAAACCCCAAAAAAAGACGGCGGGGGGGGGGGGGGGGGGGAAGTCACCCCCGGGGAAAAGGGGGGGAAAAACGGGGGGGGCCCGCGGCGGGGGTTTACCCGGGGAATACCCCCCCGGGGGAAAAGGCGGGGGGGGGGGGAAAAAAAAAAAAAAGGGGAAAAAAAAGGGGGGTGGGGGGGGGGGGACCCAAAAAAAATGCCCCCTAAATGGTTTTTCCCCGGCAAGGGGTCCGGGGCCAATTTTTTCCAGAAACCCCAATAAAGAGGGAGAGGGCGGGGTGAAAGAAAAGGGGTTTTGGCTTGGTTTGGTTTTTTTTCCCGGG